CTACTACCACTACTACCACTACTACCACTACTACCACTACTACCACTACTACCACTACTACCACTACTACCACTACTACCACTATTACCACTACTACCACTACTACCACTACTACCACTACTACCACTACTACCAGTACCAGTACCAGCACGATTCGGCCATTTTCTGTTTCGTTTACATGATCATGGTTAGGCCCTTCGCATCCCTGCCGCTTATGCTGACATTCTGCTTATTGCTAACATTGTAGCATCCAGCTGCGGACTTCGGATGCCAAGGAAGCTTGACGATCATGATCACGGTTCACGGTTTATGGTCTAGGGTTTAGGGTTTGGGGTTTAGGGTATAGGGTTTGATCACAAGTGCTGACTAAAGATCACACCCCAAGCTGTCGGACTTTGAACCCCCCGCATCGAGGTTACTTCGTGCGTGTCTGCCAAGGGCGAGGCACTCGCTGCATGGAGTGAGGCTTCATCTAACATACGGGCTTTCATAATGAGAAAAGGGTTTAATAAGGAACCCCCAAACCCTATTTTAATTATCGGGGCCCCTATATTATGGAGGGTCTGGGTTTGACAGAGGGTTTGGGAGGAATGCAGGCAATACTTTTTCTTAAAGTATAAAAAACTTCGAAAGGAAAGCGCACTAAAAGTACCAAAGGCCCTACTCAAATTGGTCGGTGAGGAATTTATCATAGAGATCTATCGTTAACAGCATGGTTTCCTTGGTATGGTAAGTTAAAGCAACTTCTGAACAAGAACCCAGCAGGAGACCGAGCAGCTCTTGCGTTGCGCAGTGCTCTACGGCGGCCCCTTTCTGGCAGACAGGTGGGAACCGAGACTGTACTATGTTAAAAGGCAATACAGTTCATGAGCAGTTTATGGTTTTATGGTATATAGTGTACTATAATGCAAAACGGCCATCACGAACCCGAAGCCCGAAAACTAAAACGCAATCAGGACAAGGCAGCAAGCCTGGGACATAAAATCAATCAATTAGCCCTAGACAGTCAAAGTTCTGTCTTTTATCTTTGCCAACGAATAGATGAGATCAAAAACGTCACTTAGTATTACGGGTGAGACTGACGATCTTGATCAGCCACATGAAGATCTCGGCGGTCGCCCGCATTTCATCTGCACCGTCTTCATCGTCCCCTCATTGTCATGGTATTTGATCCATCGTGGCCACCACCGCCTTTGGACTGATGCAGGTGTGTGCAGTGTGTGGCATGCATCTTGTAGTAGGGTTTAGGGTTTAGGGCTTAGTCCTACCCCTCCAAGAGACCCTGCCAAGGAATCACTGAGGAACTTGCCACCTGAAGCCTAAACCAGCGCCACCTGCCAGACGGGTAGTTCTCTAAATTAGGGCCCCATATCCCCAAACCCTGCACAGGTTCCCTTGAGGGTTCCTTTAAGGGGTCCCTTTCAAGATAGAGTTGGAGTCCAGGAGCAGAGAGTCTCCCGATACTCCCCAGCTGATAGTCCTCAACCTCCAAGTCGGTCGGTTCAGGACTCTGCCGATATCACTTTATGTCACGATGGTTTCGTCATTGTATTTTGTATTATTATTCTATGCTATTGCTGTTGTTGTTCTTATTATTGCTATGATGATTGTTACGCTTATTATGATGACTATTACAGGGAATCCCTCTGGGAACCTCTGACCGCTTCGGTCGGGGTCGAGGCGAATTGTTGATTTTCCCTGAGGGTCCGAGTAGTCCTTATTGGTGGCTGTTGGTACCCAAATGGACCCCAAGTCCAAGAGGGAGTTCTTAGACCCGTAGGATTTAGTACAATACCCGAGAACACTTGGAGGTTCATGGGTAGTTATAAGTAGGGTTATAAGTAGGGTAACTATAATGATAACCCGTATTACGGGACTTGTAACCCCACTTATAACTACCCACGAACCTCCAAGCACTGTATACCGGATGGCCAGGCTGTCAAGAGATCTCCCCGAGTGCCAGGTCCTTGCTTGGTCAAATGCTCGAGTTTCAGAGTTTCGAGGTTTAGGGTTTAGGGTTTAGGATTTTGGATTTAGGGTTTTGGGTTTCGGATTTCGGGATTTAGGGTAAAGGGTTTAGGGTTAAGGGTTTAGGGTTTCGAGGTTGGAAGATGTGTCGGCTCGAAGTGGTCTGGGGCTTGGGGTGTAAGGTATGATCTAACATCTTGTAATAGATTACACTATAAACATGGAATACTGTAGTAGGTCTTCTAGTCTTCATAGCAGGGGGCTTCACAGTCGGGAGGAAAGGCCAATGTTTCAGGGTAGTGAAGTTTCCGACTGAGTTCAATCTCCAACACGCAAGACTCCATGGTTAGGGGTTCGGGCCCCCATCCAACCCGCGGCCCGGGGTTAGGGTTCGGGTTAACCCCAACCCCAACCCACGGACCCGGCGTTAGTCAACCCCAACCCTAACTGGGGTTGGGGTTCGGGTTTACCCCAACCCTAACCTGCAGGTCCCGGGCTTGGAGTTCGGGGTTCATATATTTGAATTTGGGGTTTATAGGGTTACGATGTGCATCTCCAGCTTTGCAAGGTTTGGGGCTCTTCGGCAGCGATCCATGGCTACCAGAGTGCTCGTGGTGGCGTTGGGTGATGCGGCGGTGGTGGTGGTGTCAAAAAAATTATGACATTAACGTCGGCTTATGCACAATGTTGTCCACGTCTTTTACCTGTTGTATAGGATGTCCCTGGCGATGTGGTTGTCGTGGTTGGGGTTGTGTGTTGTGGTGGCCTTTGCTGAGGCCCAGTGTTGCGTCTCAGCCCCTTGAGTTTTGTGCTTTGCTTTGAGCTACCCTTCCTCATCTTGCGGACTGGTTAAGTCTCCGTTGTGTTCTGACGATACGCACTGCAAAGCACCAAACTCGTACGGCATTTGCCAGATCCTTAGCGGCACTCTCCTTGTGGATTGCCGCAGGAGCCAGCGCGGTGTCTGTTCGAAAAACTGCGGCCAGTGCTGCAGAGGGAGGTGGGCCTCCTGTGCCATGACGCTTGCAGGCAGTAGCAGTAGCAGTAGCAG